TATTGAAATGAATGAATGTACAATTTTACTATTAGTTGTAAAATTGCTTTTTTAATTTTTTTTTTCTTAATTCTTAATTTTTTGAATTCGTCATTTTGAAATAAATGAAACCTTTTTTTTAACCAGTCGTGCCATATGTTTATGAAGATAACTTTAAATTATAAAAATAGCATATTTAACAGCCGTATAAGAAATAGTTGTATATATATATATATATTTAATTTTGTGTAAATGATTTTAAGTATTTTTTATCTAATCAAATCCTTTTTGTACTATCTTTCCATTCATTTTTTGAAATAATAATTTTTTTCATTTACTTTATTTTTTTAACTTATTATCATTTCTTTTGTACTTGTTTTCAATCTTTTTTGTACTTTTTTTTCATTTTCTATTTTTTTTTTTTTTTTTTTTTTTTCTCCAAATCTCTTTTGTACTTTCTTTTCATGCTGTCTCTATTTTTTTTTCAAATCTTTCTTTTGAACATTATATTTTCTATATATAAACAGTTTCTTCTTCTTTATTTACGGCTGCCTGATGGCCGAATGCTCAGTGCTCTGGTCTTTGGTATCATACGCTTAGGGTTCGAATTCTGGCGGTGCCAGGGATGCTTGTTAGAGGTTCGGAATCCACATTAATCCTTAGGTCCCGGTCTCATATGACTATAACTGCGTTACAGAGCCCAGTCAGACTTCTCTCTCACCCAGATCATTCCCAAAATGGAAAGGGGCAACTCAGTTGCTCAATGTTGTGGTATGGTGTATTAGTAGTAATCTAATATGACCGTAGAGCGTTGGGCGTAAGACTGGCAACCCTGTTCTATAGAAATTAACCATCTTCTGCCTCGATATTTGCCGGTAGTCAAACGGTCTTGGCCCAACACGGTCTGTAGTGCCCGGGAGTTAGTTACTAGAATTGAATTATTATACTGTAGCACATACAAATATCCAATATCTTAATTTATTTATCGATAGTAACCTAAAGTTTTTCAGTATTATTTTGACTACATTGATATCTTAATCTTGACGATAAACATATATATCAATCTATTTTTCGGCTATTTCAAAAAAGTCTTTCAGCAAATTTAGACTCAATCCAAAAAAAGAACATCATTGTTTGTTTTGAGAGTAGGAGAAAACAAAAAGAGCATTGTATAAATCGGTGCCCGACTGGAACATTTTATCAAAATTCCGCAACCCTCAGGATTGTTTCGCTATTCAGTGCGACTTTTCCGCTCCATTCCCCGGAGATATTTCTGAATAGCAGCGGCACCGAAACGATATTTGCATATAGACATAGCTCAGATTCCGACTGAATGAAACCAGGATCTTAAAATATATATTTATTTTTTCCTATTTTCTTCTTCCCAGTTGGCCTTCTACTTGAAGAAGCATGTAAGAAAAAAAAATGCTGCAGAGGTTTGGTTTTGCTGTTGGCTTCATATTGAAGTTTTGTGGTTTCCTTTCATGATTATCCTCGGAGGATGGAGATGTTACGGATTGCGAAATTAAGAATGAATGTAAACGGTGGTGTTATTTGTTTAAAAATAATTTGGTATGTTTTGAGGTATCTATTGAAATGAACAAATGTACAATTTTACTATTAGTTGTAAAATTGCCTTTTTTTCTTATTTTTTGAACTTATCAGTTTGAAATAAATGAAATCTTTTTTTAAACCAGTGGTGTCGTATGCTTATGAAGAATAGCTTTAAATTATAAAAATAGCATATTTCATAGCGTATATTGTAGAAGATAAAAAAAGCGTATATAAAAATAGCGTATAAGAAATAGTTTCAGGCATTTTTTTTTTTAATTTTAGTGTAAAGGATTTTAAGTCTTTTTTTTATCTCCATGAAATCTTTTTTTGTATTTTTTTTTTCATTCATTTTTTTCTAATAATAATGTTTTTTTCATTTATTTTATTTTTTTAACTTATTTATATTTCTTTTGTACTTATTTTCAATCTCTTCTGAATTTTTTTATTTTTTTATTTTCTCACTTTTTTTCTTCAGTATCTCTTCTGTACTTTCTTTTAATTTCATTTCTTTTTTTTTTTTTTTTTTCATATATCTATTGAACATTATATTTTCTATATAAACAATTTCTTCTTCTTCATTGGCGGCGGCCTGATTGCCAATTGGCTAGTGCTCTGGCCTTTGGTGCTTCAGGTTTGAATCCTGGTTGTGGCATGGATGTTTGTTAGAGATTCGAAATCGGGATTTGAATGGCCGAGTTGCTATTGTTCCTGGCGCTTGGCACTCAGAGGTTTCGGTTTCGAGTTCCGGCAGCCATGGATGTTTGTAGTGTTTCGGAATTCACTTTAAGCCGTAAGTCCCGGTCTCATTTGAATGTAAGAGCGTCACGGAAACCTGTCAAATTTCTCTTCACTCACATTATTCCCACATCGTAAAGGGGCTACTCAGCTCTAGGCACAGTGATGTGGTGTGGTAGTAGTAGTAGTAGTGTGGTTCGGAATCCAATGGCTGTAGGTCCCTTTAGCCTAGTGTGCCTAATTAGCCTAAGTGAGCAAAAAATGAAGGTAGAGCGATAACCAAACAAAATCTTCATGGACGCAACAGCCCCAATTTGAGCCAACAGCCATCTGCTTACTGGCAAATTTCGAGACAGGAGATGTTTTTTTTATACAGGTTAGGGTTGTCAGCTCCACGCCCAGCTTTCTACAGTTATATTAGACACGACTATTCCAAACATACATTGCACTGCCGGGATTCGAACTCGAAACCTATGGCATCTAGCGCCAGAGCAATATAAATAGTTTAACAGATAAAAACTGGTTATTTTATAAATAGAAATGAAAAATAGTTATTCTTCTTAAATAAAAACTATTTCTTATTAGAAAGATTTTTAACATTTAAAATGTATACTTATTACTTTTTTTTTCTATAGCAATTTGTAAATTCCTATGGAAAACCTTTCTCTAAGATTGGTAAATCGAAAAACATTCTATCAAAATTATATCAATTTCTTGTGCATTTTTAGATTTGGAATGCATTAATAATGCTTTTATTATTTCTTTCTTGTAGGAAAATTGGCCTTTCGAAATCCTCTCCATGACCCGAGAGTATACGAAGGTGCGCCACCTGGCATACATGTGCATACAGTGCATGCATATGACCCTGGCAGGAAATCTGTCATGTATAATTTGTTGGATGTGCGAGACCATACGTACTTCAACATGGACTCTTCGTCTGGCAACATATCCACTGCCAAGACGATTGATAAAAAAGTGGGCGACACGTATGAGGTGAGTTTGACTTATTGTTTGTACGAAAAATATTTTTTTTGTTTGTTTACTCAATCTTTTAATTAACATAAACGTCGATGTTTTAGTACCACGCATACTATGCTGAATTTCATGAAAAAATAAATTAATAGTTTAAAAAAACTAAAAAATACGCTTTTAGAGTTAATCAAACTAAAAAGTAAAAAATAATTGTTAACATAAGAATAAAATGACTGACGAGAAAATGAATGTCACTGTTCTAAAATCGTGGGGTGCTCGATATCAATCGTTATAATTTCTCACTAGTTTCATTCCGAAATGCAGAGTTAGTTTAAAAATGTCATACAAAGCACCCCACGCTTTTAGAACAGTGACATTCATTTTCTCGTCAGTCATTTTATTCTTATGTTAACAATTATTTTTTACTTTTTAATTTGATTAACTCAAAAAGCGTATTTTTTAGTTTTTTTAAACTATTAATTTATTTTTTACTTTTTAGTCTGATTAACTCTAAAAGCATATTTTTTTTTAGTTTTTTTAAAGTATAATTGTTTTTACTTTGTTTTCCACTTGGCTTTACTTAGATTGAATGCAGGTCGAGTACCTGTGCGCGAAGCGCACATCTACTCAAAATCAAAAGTTTACATACTTTTTACCCACCGAAATTTTCGGCCAATAGGAAGAACGCAATTCGACATGATCGCACTCCTATGCCTTTGAGATCCGCCTCTTTTTAGCCACCGAAATTTTCGGCCAATAGGAAGAGCGCAACTCGATTGCGGATCAGTTGACTGACTCGCCAGTAGATGGCGCCATCAGTCCCAAAATCGAGCCCAAAAAGTGAGTTACATACAAACATACAAACATACAGGTGAAGCTAATAAAAGCGTATTAAAAACTTTCAAAACAACTTTTATTATTTGAGCACATTGTCTTTTTTAAATCCATCTTTACCTTCATTTACAAACCTTCAGAAATCTGACTCTCCCGATTAAACATTAGTTGTTTGCTTTTTATAATACTTCTACAGACTCTCATTAACGAATCTTCTAATCTTATTAGAATTACAAATCTTCCTCGAATTTTCTGATATTCTAATGACGAATATTCTAATTGTCTCCTAATGACGAATATTCTGATTATCTTCTAATGACAAATATTCTAATTATTTCGAATGCCAAATCTTTTAATTATTTCTAATGTCAAATCTTCTATTTATATTATACCTAATTACAATTTCTTTAATCATATTCGAAATACGAATTTTTTAATCATATTGGAATTCCGAATTTTCTATTCATATTCGAATGATGAATTTTCTAATCATATTCGAATGACGAACCTTCTAATCCTGTTAGAATGACGAATCTTCTAAGCATATTCAAATAACGAATCTTCTAATCATATTCGAATGACGAATCTTCTAATTGTATCTGAACTACGACTCTTTTAATCATATTCGAATTATGAGTCTTCTATGTTTGTTTCTTATCCCACTTGGCTGGCCAAGACCACGAGCCCATATGGACTCATGATTGAAGGGGAAGGAAGCAGTTTCTGTTGTGATGGAGCACCCGTAGGTAGAAGCCTGACTTTTGCTCCGTGACGCTCTTACAGTTATAGAAGACCGGGACCTACGGCTTAAAGTGGATTTCGAACCACTACAAACATCCATGGCACCGCCGGGATTCGAACCCGAAACCTGTGGCACCGAGCGCCAGAGCGCTAGACCACTCGGCCATTCAGGTCCCAAATTTGCCAACGGCACGCGGTGTTCCCAGGTGGTCACCCAATGTACTGAATGATGCCTAACTTCGGTGATCTAACGAGAACCGGTATATTCAGCATGGTACGGCCGTTGGCATGAGTCTTCTATTCATATTCAAATGACAAATCTTCTAACCATATTCGAATGACGAACCTTCTAATCATATTAGAATGACGAATCTTTTAATCATATTCTAATGACGAATCTTCTAATCATATTCTAATGACGAATCTTCTAATCATATTCTAATGACAAATCTTCTAATCATATTCTAATGACAAATCTTCTAATCCTATTCGAATTAAGAATTTTATCATATTCTAATAACGACTTTTCTAATCATATTCTAATAACGATCATTCTAATCATATTCTAATAACGATCATTCTAATCATATTCTAATAACGACTATTCTAATCATATTCGAATAAACGAATCTTCTAATTATATTAAATGACGAATCTTCTTATCATACTGGAATTGTAGCATCTCCTTGACGAGTTTCCACTTTATTGTTTACTTCTATAATTCAGTATTATTATTTAGTATATAAATTTATTCATTTAAACTGCCATTAAAAGGCATTTCAAAATTTGAACACTCCATTTTGACGTAACTTGGAAGTTAAATGCATATGTATGCATGATTTATGATAAAAGAACACTAAAAGAAACACTTTCTTTAAAAACAACAAATGACACGATACAGTGATTCATGAATGAATGGAATAAAAATGACCAAAAACAGCATTTTACTTTTCGAATTCCTTCAGCAGATAAATGGGTATTCATTCTTATTCATTTCCAACTGAATCATTTCCAAAGGTCCAAAGGCCAAAAATGACACTTGTCATGCGCTCAAGGTCAACTCAATGACATTGTTTATGACAGCAGACAAATGAATTAATTATCTTAGTATTCTTCAATTTGAATTACAATTTGAGACTAGTATTTCGCTTACGAAAAATCGAAGGATATTTTCTTAGCTGTAATTGGTAAAATTATTATCAATATTGAAGAACAAAATTTATTTATTGATACAAAATAAAAAAAATCCTTCTATTAACTAGCAATTTATTAATGATCATTTTCATAGAAAACGAAGACAAATTGCTTACAAAAATTCCGCCATAATTGTAGGAAATATTTTCTGCATATTAAAATCCGTAATTAATTAAAGGAATGCAATCAATTTACCACATATTTGTCTAGTATTAAATGAGCAAATTGCTTTCTTCATTTAGTAGTATTGAAACTAACAAAGATGTAAATTAGAATTTCAGTTAATGAGGTCTGAAAATATTTATTTTTCATACTGGCATAATAAACACATTATTTTTGCAGGTCTTTATTATTCTATTGCTTAAATATACTATTATTTATTGCTTACACATACTATTATTCTATTTAATCAAATATATTTTTTATTCATTACTATATTATTATTTGAAAAGAATCTAATTTTAGAGTGAGAAAATATAATACAAATGAGAATTGATATGCAAATAAGCACAAACGTTAAGCAGTTCATTTACAACAATAAAAATCTTTCATAGTTTCATATTGTTGTTTATAATTTCATTAATTGCGATGATATGATTTTTTTCGTATTTTTAGGGTGTTTTGAGAAATGAAAATAGAAATTTAATTTTGAAAAAATAAATTATTCATTAATTTGAAGTACTCTAATGAGGGAGAAACTTGATTTTGAAGGATATTGAATTATATATTCATTTATTTATTTAAAGAAAGAATTATGCTATTAAATAATTTTCATCAGTTTTTGTTTTTGATCTCCAGTATTTATATTTCGTATTTCTTATATAAACAGTATAATACACGCCATATCCAGATTTCATCTGTCTTTTGTATAGAAAAATAAATGTAAATGTATTGATGTGTGTATGTTTCAGCATAATTGCAATATTGAAACAGGTAAAAGTTAATTTTTTTTCCTCAGAATTTATAATTCCGTTCCAAAAATTCGTGTAAAAACAAATAAAATGTTTTATTAATTTATTTTTTCAATTAAATAAAAATCATATTTTTTATTGCCATCAGATGTTTACTCCACTAGATGGCGCCACGCTTAAAAATTACTAGTGTCCTTAGTTAAGTTATTGTTAAAATCTAAAGTAGAAAATTTAATATATTTGTTTTAATTTATTTTCTAAATTAACCTTATTATATTCTTAAAAATAAATGCTAATAGATTAAAAGTGAGAAAAAAATATTAGGGATTTTAAGCAATTTAAGACGAATCAGTAATCAGTATGGTTAAAAAAAACAACAGAAAAAAATGCCAACCATACCACACATAATGATTTTTTTTTCTATAAAAATATATAAAAAAACATAACAATAAAAAAATATGTTTTTTTTTTTATTTATTTATCAGATTTTTTACACCACCAGATAGCGCCAGCTTAAAAAACTGACTGGTGTCCTTAGTTAAGTTATTGTTAAAATCTGAAGTAGAAAATTGATTGTATTAGTTTTAATATAGCTTCTAAATTAACACTATTATATTCTTAAGAATAAATTAAAATTGAGAAAAAAAATAACTGGAAATTCTTGTAAAAGAAAGATTGATTTATTTAGCAAATTTATTTAAAATCTCAAACCTTTAATTCTACGTATGCTTTTTTCTAAATATTTGCTAAATCTAAAAACTTATATCTTCTGTAACTAGTAACATCAATAAAGTTATATTAACAAAAAATGTCATTAGATTTATTTTCCATCTTTAGTATCTTTATTTCAAATTCCTTAAGTAAAACCATATAATATGCACCTTATCCATATTTCTCAATCGATTGTTTTAAACTTTTATTTAAATCATTGAGATTTATATTTATGAATAACTCTTAACAGTTCAAAATATTAACCAGAATGTTCTCCAAAGACTTAAAAGAGTTCATTCATCAAGCTCACTGCACGCATTAACCCATCGTGATATCATCTAACATATGCGGCTGTCGCCTCAATAGATTTGTGACACCGTCAGCAAATTCGCATGCATTCACACAAACTTACACATTCGAACCAACATACATTACAGAATGACTTTCACAGCAGAAACGTTAAATTGTATGCACTTGAACTTAACGCTTTGTCATCTGTTAGCTTTGGACTAGGAAGAACGTCGGACGGTTCTATCTATTCCCTGGTGGGGATTACCGAATTCATTGTGTCGGTCAATCCAACATGGCGGCTCTTTCGTCACATGTCAGTCGCACGTGCCGGGTTCCTGTGACGAGAATGTTGAAGGGGGGAAGGCATTATGATGTAGTAGGAAGAGGAATTTCCTGCATGGACCTTTAATCCGGACCAAGTACAGTGGCGTTAAATAGCGTGTGAATGGTTGCGTATAACAGGTTGAGGATTCAGATTCGCAGAAGCAAGGGGGGACAAAAAGGGTATTGATCCGGAATGGATGGTTCTGGATCTGGTTGTTGTTTGGTGGAGTGGTCCAGATGCAAGTGAATTGTTGGTGCTCAAGAGAAAATTGCTGTAAATTTGGAATCTTTCACAGAATGTTGGTAGTTTTCAATCTGTGGAGGTATTTCACAATGGCAAAAGTTTTGCTTTTGTTAAAAAAGGGATGGTTGAATATTTTGTGATCTTATTGAGAAATAAGGCTTCTGGCCTTAATATGAAATACAATTGTAGAGGTTTGCTTTTGTTAAAAAAAAAAAAAGATGACTGAACATTTATTGACAAGTAATGCTTCTGACCTTGTATAGCTTATTCGATTATAAATTTCATTGGTTTTGTAAATGGTGTTGTTAATATTTAACAATACTTCATAGAAACTACTGTAAATTTGGAAGCTTTCAGAATATTGGTAGTTTTTAATCTGTGAAGGTATTTCACAATGGTAGAAGATTGCTTTTGTTAAAAAAAAGGGATGACAATATTGAGAAGTAATGATATTATTGAGAAGGGTGATATTATTGAGAAGTAATGCTTCTGGCCTTAAGATGAAATACAATTGTGCAATTATAGAAATTTGCTTTTGTTAAAAAAGGGATGATTAGACATTTTGTGATCTTATTAAGAAGTAACGCTTTTGTCCTTAATATGAAATGCAATTGTAGAGATTTGCTTTTGTTAAAAAAAAAGAGATGATTGAACAGTTTGGGATCTTATTAAAAAGTAATGCTTCCGGCCTTAATATGAAATAAATACAAGTTTGCTTTTGCTAAAAAGGGATGATTGAACATTTTGTGATCTTATTGAGAAGTAATGCTTCTGGCCTTAATATGAAATTCAATTGTACAAGTTTGCTTTTATTAAAAAAAAGATGATTGAACAGTTTGGGATCTTATTAAGAAGTAATGCTTCTGTCCTTAATATGAAATTCAATTGTACAAGTTTGCTTTTATTAAAAAAAGAGATGATTGAACAGTTTGGGATCTTATTAAAAAGTAATGTTTCCGGCCTTAATATGAAATACAATTGTACAAGTTTGCTTTTGCTAAAAAAAGGGATGATTGAACATTTTGTGATCTTATTGAGAAGTAATGCTTCTGTCCTTAATATGAAATACAATTGTAGAAGTTTGCTTTTGGTAAAAAAAGGATGATTGAACAGTTTGGGATCTTATTAAAAAGTAATTCTTCTGGCCTTCTGTAGTTTATTCGATTATAAATTTCATTGGTGTGAAATATTGTGTTGTTAAGATTTAATGATATATATAAATCTTCGGCCTTGTATATTTTATTCTGAATTTATCTGAATATCTTTGGCCTTGTACAGTTTCTTCGATTGTAAATTTCATTGATTTTGTAAATGGTCCACTAGTGTGAAATATTTTATATGTCATTTAAGATTTATTAATACTTCAAAGAAAGTGCTGTAAATTTTGAATCTTGCAGAATATTGGTAGTTTTCAATTTGTGAAGATATTTCACAATGGTAGAAGATTTGCTTTTGTTAAAAATAAGGATGATTGAACATTTTGTGATCTTATTGAGAAGTAATGCTTCTGCCCTTGTGTAGTTTATTCGACTATAAATATCATTGTTTTTCTAAATTGTCCACTGGTGTGAAATATTTTGTGTGTTGTTAACATTCAGTAATACTTCAA